CTGTTGTTGGGTAACTGTAGTAGCCGCTGCTGCTGCTGCTGCCGTCTCTGTTGCTGCCCTGAAGGAGACTGCAGCACAGTAATCTGCTGCTGCTGCCGCCATACAATGCGCTGCAGCTGCTGCACCAACATCTGTAAGTCTACGTTCTCCGCCCGGGCCTGCATGCAGCAGCAGCAGCAGCAGCAGCAGCAGCAAATGCAGCAGCAAATGCAGCAGTAGAGCTCCGGTTGTTGCACAAACAAGGTGCTGATTCTACTGCCACCGCAGCAGCAGCAGCAGCAGCAGCAACAACAGCAGCAGCAAAAGTCCTTACCTTCTCCAGCAGCAAAGAGTCTTGCTGCAGCGCCTGCACTTTATCATTTTGCTGCTGCAGTTGCTGCCGCAACTCATCGTACCCTCGCCGCAGCACATCTACTTGTGCGGACTGCAGCAGCAGCAGCAGCAGCAGCAGCAGCAGCAGCAGCAGCAACAGCAGCAGAAGCAGCAGCAGCACAGCGGACACAGAAACATCAAGAATTAGTAGGCAGATTACAGCGTAGCAGCGCAGCAACACCAGCAGCAACAGTAACAGCACAGCCAACAGCAACAGCAGCAGCAACAGCAGCAGCAGCAGCAGCAGCAGCATTATACCTTGTCATTTGCATGCATGCGTGACTCTAAATGAAGGATTTGCTGCCGAAGATCTTCCGCCTCCAACTCACGAGATCTAAGAGCCCGCTGCAGCTGCAGCACCTGCAGCAGCAGCAGCAGCAGCAACAACAGCAGCAGCAGCAGCAATAATAGCAGCAAGAGTAACTTAAATAATTGGCTAAACAGGAGTTTATGGATGTCCATAGAACCTAAGTTATATCAAACCCTAAACCCTAAACCCTAAACCCTAAACCCTAAACCCTAAACCCTAAACCCTAAACCCTAAACCCCTTACTGTTTCTTGTTTTCTGTCTACTTCTGCTTGTGTCTTTGCGATTTGCTGCTGCAATTCTTCTTCTGCCTTTAGTCTCTCGCTCTCTCTTCTTACTGCTGCTGCATGCTGCAGCAGCAAATACACAAACAGCAACACAACTCCTGCTGCTGCTGCTGCTGCTGCTGGTGCTGCTGTTGCTGCTGGTACTGTAAGAGCAGAGACAGGCCGCTGCAGCAGCAGCAACAGTGGCAATACATAATGCAGCAGCAACAGCAACAGCAGCAGCAACAGCAACAGCAGCAGCAACAGCAACAGCAGCAGCAGCAGCAGCAGCAGCAGACGTACCGCCTCTACTGCTGCTTCTGCGCTCATCTCTTTTAGTCTTTGAATCTCCTGCTGTAATTGCTCAACCCTAAACCCTCGCACAAACCCTAAACCCTAAACCCTAAACCCTAAACCCTAAACCGTAGATCCTTGGAGCCCTATCGTAGCAAATAACAGCGACAAACAGATAAGGGTTTAGATATTAGTGTTTAGGGTTTAGGGTTTGGCGTACCTAGCTGCTGCTGCTCTGTCTGCTTCTTCTGCTCGTCTATTAGCTGCCTGTAGCTCAAATGCAGCAGAGTGCTGCTGCAGCCGCTGCTGCTGCTGCTGCTGCTGCTGCTGCTGCAGCAACACCTTTGTCTCGTATATTTCTCTGTCTTTTGCTGCCATCGCCTCTTCCATCTAACAACACAAACACAAACCCTAAACCCTAAACCCTAAACCCTAAAACTCTAAACCCTCCACAGCTCGTTGTATGGCTACATAGGTAAGCAGCTAGCTAGCTAGCCAGCTAGCTAGCTAGCTACCCATCCATCTACCCCCACAGCTAGCTAGCTAGCTAGCTAGCTAGCCAGCTAGCCAGCTAGCCACCCACCCACCCACCCACCCACCCATCTAGCTAGCTAGCTAGC